CTCGGCTGGGGGCCCCAAAGCCAAGGGGCTTCAGCCCTATAACCTGAGCCCCACTGCCCACAGATGAAGCCCTCGGGCTTTGGCCCCAAGCAGTGGGGCTCTGGCTTCAGCTTGTCTAAGCCAGCCCTTAAAATAGGGTCATGACCCACTTTGGGGACCCTGACCCACAGTCTGAGAACCACTGATCTGATTTACATAACACAGGCCAGAGAACCTCACCACACGATTCCTGCCTCTGGAGTACAGCAATGCTGCAATAAAAGGCCATGGCTGGCCCACAACAGTGGACTTAAGCCAGCTACCGGTCTTCATGGGCAGTGTAGACACACAGAGGCTGAGATACACATCCATTACAAAGGCATCCAGACTCCATGTAAAGACACCAAGTGATGGGGAATGTGCAACATCCCTTGGTGATCTGTTCTAGCAATAAGTAACCCTCATGGCCTGCACCTTATTTCCAGTTGGGTAAACTTAGGTTCTGGATACACTTACTCCAGGACCGACAGCCTTCAGCTTGGTTTCCACACCACTGATGTCCCATGGCGAGGCTCTTGCAATGTGTTGGTCTAAGTGGCAGAAGTGAATTAGAGGAGACAAGCACAGTATCCACAGATTCAGTGGCTCACTCACATGAGTGATGCAAGAGGAGCTACAGCCACTTTTCCAGCCCATAGAGCAAGGGGAAGGCGTTGCTGAACTGCAGTCTAGCCCTGGCTCCCCATCCGAGCCTCTTGCAGGCTTCACCAGCATAATTAGAAAGCTGAAGTGCATTTCACCCTGAAAGCTGGTGTGCAAACTGACTTATTTGCATCTTCCAGCCAGCAGAAAGGAGACCAGCTGCAAATGGGACAGAGAAAGGAGTCCCCTTTTGCCACACAATGAATAATAGTTCATTTCAGCGCTTCCCATAACCGCCCCAGCCCAGCTTAACAAGCAGCGAGAAGACATGGCCATATTTCATTCATACGGCTGCATACGTCAGACGACTTGCACACAGGAGTAAAGCATCCGAGTCAGCAGAACCATGGCTTTGGCCAAAGCATCATCTTAGATTTTCAACAAGGAAATGGCTATGATGGGTGAGGATAAGGCATTTATGTAGTGAGGGCAAGTGCAACTGACTAGCACCATGCTACAGACTGGTCAGTTAGGCCTGGAACCCCCAAAACTATAAGAGAAAGCAATGGGAGCTGCAAAACTTCCTCTGAGCCCCATTGCTCCCTCTTGCTATAGACAGTGTGTTCACCTACCTCTGAAGAAGCCTACTTTTAATAAGACACCCCTTTGTAGCTTTACATTCACAACATTTGCCCTTTAGAAAATGTTAAATGCATCATTGTCCCACAAAACTGGAAGGAAATCCCATTTAAATCACAAGTAAGACAACTGTAATCTCTCCGGGTCCATGCTCATCTTAGCTGCAGATGGTTGTATCCGCTCCTAGTAGAATTTCTGGTAAATAACTGAGGTGGTGGATTATTACTTCACTTCCCTGTGCAGTCTCCCAACTTTGGACCTGAAACACACTGAGAAATCACACGGGGAAACCCAGACAGTGCTGGGACCCGCCCTATTGCACAACACTGAAGTTGGCCTGATCCAATACCGATTTGACAGAACGTGTGTTAGCGTCTCTAGGTCCTGACTGCTCCACTGCTAACTTGGATGAAAGTAATAATCTAAAATGCCTAGCAGCTGAACTGAGCTTTGTGGGTGCTCAACCAGGAAAACTCTTTGTTCCCAAGCAACTGAACTGAAGGTGAGAAAGTCATTCTCATGCTTGCCAAGGGCTCTCTAATCAGGAGCAGGATAAAGACAGTAGACTGGAGGCTGCAGTGCCAGAGTTACCCAAGTACCTCAAATCATGCTAATTCTAACATAACCCATTTCCCTTCCTCAGCAAAGTAAGGCAGTTTATAGACATTAAATTATGCCGCTCAAGTTGCAGTGAAGTAAGAAGGGGAAATACTGTCACCCCCATCTCACAGGTAGGGAAACTGAGGCTCAGAATGTTTAAGTAATTTGCCTGGGGTGGCAGAGTCAGGAATAGAATCCTGAACTCAATCCCCAGTCCTGTATTTTAGACCCAAGAGAACAAGCTAGGCCAATAAATAATATTACTTCACCAACCTGGCTATTCCCCACACATAAATAAAGACATTTGTCTTCTACGGCACTCTCATTACCACAGTGTCTGAACATCTCACAAACATTCCTGGATGTATTCTCAGAGCTGCACCCTTGAGAGGTGGGAAGGTGCTGTTAACACCATACTCTCCCTTGTTCTAGATGGGGTTTGAGGTACAGGAATAGGGACTGCCATGAACCCACCACTTTTGCCAGTTGTAATGGTAAGTGATGGGGGAGGGGCAGGCATGAGCACGTGGGGGGCGCAGAGTCTTGGGTGCCTCAGGGAAAGGGGTGGGGCACGTGGTGGGCCACAATGAGGGTGCTGGTGGGGCTCCTCCACACTTTTAGGAAACTTACACTGTTCCTAATGGGGATCCGAGGCAGAGACTAAGTGACTTTCCCAAGGTCACACGGATTCAGGGAGTCTGTGGCAGTTCACATCTCCCAAGCACTTGTCCAATGCTTTAACTGCCAAGTTATCATTTCTCCTTTTCATAGCCTTCCTTTTGAGCTTCAGATACCTGCTGGTTACGTCTACACTGGCATGATTTTCCAGAAATGCTTTTAACGGAAAAGTTTTCCGTTAAAAGCATTTTCGGAAAAGAGCGTCTAGATTGGCAGGACGCTTTTCCGCAAAAGCACTTTTTACGGAAAAGCGTCCGTGGCCAATCTAGACACGCTTTTCCGCAAAAAAAGCCCCAATCACCATTTTCGCGATCAGGGCTTTTTTGCGGAAAACAACTCTCTGCTGTCTACGCTGGCCCCTTTGCGCAAAAGTTTTTCGGAAAAAGACTTTTGCCCGAATGGGAGCAGCATAGTATTTCTGCAAAAGCACTGACAATATTACACGAGATCGTCAGTGCTTTTGCAGAAATTCAAGCGGCCAGTGTAGACAGCTGGCAAGTTTTTCTGCAAAAGCAGATGATTTTGCGGAAAAACTTGCCAGTCTAGACACAGCCGCTATGAATGTTACTTCTTCCCCCACCCTCCCAGGTTTTTCATCAGCTCACAATGCAAAGCTCAGTAAGGCAAAATAAAAGGATGTCACAATGACAGCATTTAAAGGGGGAAAGTGGAAAGAAAAGCATCTCCAGCAGTCCCAGTGTATGCCAAGTGCCCAGTATCTATTGCAGTACTCAGGAACGCTGCATAACTCTCCTTGCTGTAAAATGTGTGATGCCCATGTGTGCATCAAGATAGGATTAAAACCAGCAGGCAACACCTGTTTAAAATTATGGAGCCACCAGAACATACCTTGTATTGTGATTGATGGAAAATAAGTTATTAAATGCCAATAACCAGACAGATGTTTCAGCAGACCAATTCCAGCTGTGCTGGCTGCTACAAAAGCAAGCTCATATTTTCAGTACAGAAACACAGTTTATGTTGTCAGTAATTCTTTCTGAAAAGGTCCTTGCTAGTAATTAGCAAGTGGTTTCTTAAAGCATTAATGATCCTTAGCTTTTACCTTACCCTATTAATTAATAAAATACTTATTAACATTCAGTGCCTCAAGACTCATTTTGCATATCAAGTACAATTCCATAGTGGATCAAGACATTTTCAAAATATTCACCCCATAATGTAACACTTTGCATATCAGTAACACCTTTCATCCCAGGATCACAAAACACTTCATAATTATTACTGAATTAAGCTAAGACAGTTGATTTAGTTGGGGTTGATCCTGCTTTGAGCAGGGGGCTGGACTAAATGACCTCCTGGGGTCTCTTCCAACCCTAAACTTCTATGATTCTATGGATATCGGAGGTCAATGATTCCTGAAGGTCACTCACTCTTGCATGAAGAGCCAAGACCAGAACTGCTCTCTCAATGCTGTGTTGTTACAACTAGCCCATGCATCCTCTCTGCATGATCATGTCACAAGCACAGGTTCGGCAGCTTCGAGAATTTCAAAGAAACCGCACTACAAAATTCTCAGGAGAGGGGTTGGTCTCAGACTGATCAATGGGGAACCTGACAGGAGTTTAACAATGGTTTCAAAAATAAGATGCTACACCAGTGAATATCTGTAAGAGTACAAATCCCTGGTATTGTCACCCTGGGAATTACTCTTCAAAATACATGATTAAAAAAGAGAAAATGAAGTGGAACATGATATAGTTAAAAGCAATGAGCTATCCTGTGGCACCTTAGAGACTAACCAATATATTATATGATGAGCTTTTGTGGATGAAGTCCACTTCAGATGATGCTGTTTTATTTTTTTAAAGCCAGACAATTGTTTGCACCTTTTAACAAAAACTTATCAATGCAATATGCTATTTAAAAGAGAACCATTAAGCTGGCAGACTCAAACCTTATCAGAACCCAAAGATCTTTTCTTGCCATTACAATATTTGTAACCCATTCCTTTCCATGCCACACAAAGAATGCATCACACTAACAAGAACGACTGACAACACAGCTTTGTGTTATAAACCAGAATTTTACCCAGCTATTATGCATTTCATTTTTGCAAAGGCAAGTAACAATGAGCCAAATATTCCAACCTGTGTGAAGATACACAGGACACCACATCTATAGTTAATGTGTATTATTAGGTGCACACACACCAAGACTGGTATGTAGCCATTCATTGTGGGATGCTGTGGTTGCAATTCAGTTTATACTAGTGACTTCAAAGGGCATTTTGCCTAAACAAGATATGATCAAAACCCAGGATGTAGCCCTATAGCTATGTCCACAGTAAATACAAGTAAGAAAACCAATAGGCTAGAAAGGTCATTTCTTTACAGTGCTATGAATGTCCTCAATGCAATTCAGGAGCCGGGTAAAAATATTGCCGCCTGACAAAGTAGCAGCAGGCAAGTGCGAGACAAGAGGATTTAGGGCAGACTCCAGACCTGCGAGAACCTTTGCTGGGAAGCTCATTCTTCCTGGAGCAAACTCCACGAACACTCCTCAACTTCCGCAACTACAGCCTCGCCTCCCACCCAGCAAAAGGACCCGACGAGCCCTGTCCCTCGCCACAGGAATCGCCCGGCGGGGGCTGGGGCAGGCAGCAGTCACGGTGCCGGCCCCGCTCCGGAAGCCTTACCGGATTTAGGAGGATATCGGTAGGGGAAGCTCATTCTTCCTGGAGCAAACTCCACGAACACTCCTCAACTTCCGCAACTACAGCCTCGCCTCCCACCCAGCAAAAGGACCCGACGAGCCCTGTCCCTCGCCACAGGAATCGCCCGGCGGGGGCTGGGGCAGGCAGCAGTCACGGTGCCGGCCCCGCTCCGGAAGCCTTACCGGATTTAGGAGGATATCGGTAGGGGGGAATAGAAAGGGAGTTCCCCCCCTCCCCCCCCGCC